AGGACCTTAAATAGGGAAGGAGATTTGTTTTCCCACTCTCATGCTCTTTTCAGGCAAGTTCAATGGGAACTTTGAAGTTGAGTGGCATCCATGGCTATTTCTGAGTGTGAGAACATGTTAGTAGGAGAGGAGGTGGGTGGATGGGAAGTTAGCAAGTGTAAAGTTGTGGCAATGGTGATGACTGAACTATAAGTTAGCAGTGTGTAAGAAGAAATCGATTTCCCCACTGCTAACAGCTTATGTATGTCTTATAGAATCATTTACTGATCGTACAACACAATTTTGCTTGTGATTTCAAATTCATGTAGAACTTGTATTTTTTAGCCTCCTTTTTACTGCCGTGATGTTGCTGAGATGTACGATAATATTCTTCATAAACCCCTGGTTTTGCGCCCAGGAATCAGTCTCACAGCCTGGTCTATCCTGGAAGAGCTTTTGGAGAAAGATCGGCAAAGCAGACTTGGAGCAAGGGAAGATTTTGTAAGTGGCGTCCTGATTTATCAAACCCTGTGTCATTTAAAGGACCATCACCAAATTCACGTGCACAGCACTGGATTAATAGCTGGAGATAGAGATTGCACTGCTATGTCTGTCTCTGTTTTCCCCCTTTTTATTTCCTTGTTTTGAAGAAGTTGATGTGAGAAAGTTTAGGCGTCTTCAGAACTGTGTGATGAGGAATGATCTAGAAGGATGTACTCTATCCATTAACTGTGAAATCTTTGTAGTCTTTTATTTGCAATCTTAACGTTATAACTGAGCATTTAGATCATATTTTACTTTTTGCAGAGTGGAGCAAGATGAAACAATTTAGCACAGCTGTTTGCTGCTTCGTAACTAGTAAGCACATAGCAGAGTTGAAGCAGCTGCTTCTCAGACAGTGGTATGATCTACAAAAACTAGCAAAATATTAAGGCAGGAACAGATACCAACAGAAAACATCCTTCCCCTGTGGTAGACTTCAATGTTGTTGATTTTATGGCTTAAAAGCAGAAGGTATGATCTTAAAAGGAAACCAGTTTATAGAGGCAGGCTAAAAATTTTAATTCCTGTTTTCACCAACTACAGTTTTTATTGCAAAGTAAACTATGAGTAAACAAATTGATAATGAACTTGCTTATGGGAATGTAGTCTGAAGCAGTAGTTACTGTGATGCACAGGATGGATTTCCAAAGTATCTAAAATCTTTATTCCTTACTGCAGCTTGAAATTCAAAAGCATCCATTTTTTGAATCTCTCAGCTGGACTGATCTTCTTCAGAAGAAGATTCCTCCACCGTTTAATCCTAATGTGGTAGGTGCCTTGTGCTGGTTTAGTTTATACATGCCAAATTTCTGCTTTTGAGGGTTCATCTATTTGCAAAGACTGTTTGTTTCAGAATAGTGAAGAATGGGATCCCCAGATCCCCCCACCGAGTGCTGGCTGGCTTTTTGAGCAGTCACGCTTCTGAGCCATCATACTGTCTTTTTTAACTTAAAACTCAGTTTGATGGATCCCTGATTACTCTGCTAGCTTCTGTCAAAGTCCTGCCAATTTTTGTGGGGTCTGAAGACCAAAGAAAAAGTACAGATAACTTATCAAAGACTTCCCAAAAGACTGGTTTCCTGCTTTTTGAATAGCTTTTACATCTTAGCTGCAAATATTCTCTATCCTTCCATTAGTTTAAACTGGGTCAACCTGTGACTGCTTGTCCAAAAACTCAAGGCAAGGTGGGACCAACACTGGGGAGGAAATCCTTCCTACAGTCACATCAGAGGATCGGTTTTTGTTGAGCCTGTGTCCAGTGAAGAGGCCTTAGCTGTCTTGTTACTTCTCTCTGTGACTAAATATTACTATGCTGAGTTCTTAGGTGTTCACTAGGAAGCTGATCTATCTAAACAGTACCATTGCTAGAATTTAGCACTTTAAAATATTATTGATGGAAAAGGGAGGAAAAGAATTCAGGTTAGTTTGGCTTTATTTTATTTTTTTTAATGGGTTTTGGGGTTGTTTTTACATTGACTGGTTTGTTGGATTTGTTGTGTTTTAGGGTTTTTTTGGGGGGTTGTTAGTGTTTGCATCTCCTTAATAATCATTTAAGAAAGAGACATTTCTTCATATTTTCTGGGTTTATCAGGATTGGCCCAAACTCAAGCCCAAAAGAAAAAAGCACCCCCTCAGTAGTTTTATTTAGGGATGCTTCAGTGTGCTTCCTTAAATTTCCTATATTTAAAAAGGAAAAAACAGCATAGACTAGACAGCTTTGAGAATTAAATTTGGAATCTAAAGGACAAGGACACATTTAAAACACCATATTAATATGACAACTAACAGATCTTTCTGTTTTCTAGGTTGGACCAGACGATATTGGGAATTTTGATGCAGTGTTCACAGAAGAAATGGTCCCATACTCTGTTTGCGTTTCTTCTGATTACAGCATCATTAATGCCAGTGTCCTAGAGGCAGATGATGCATTTGTTGGATTTTCTTACGCACCACCTTCTGAAGATATGTTTTCCTAGGAAGTTAGAAGAGAAGAATGTTTTGGAAGTCTTGGGGTGAACTGAAATGTTAGGGTTACGGACACATTCCAAACTAGCGTAACTAGTGCCTCGTTTTGTATGTAGGTTTGAAACCTATGAACAAACTTTTTCTGCTGTATAGGAGGAATTTGGGCATTTTGGATGGCTTTCTTTGGGATTTGAACTGTTTGTTCCTGCTGCAGAAAATATTTTTTAAAACCTTTAAAAAGCATTCTCTACGTATTTTTTAAGCAAAAACACTGACTGTTCTCCTCGATCCCTTCAAGTTTACATTCATACCTATCTAATTTGCCTGGCACAAACAGCAGCAAATTTAGTAAATTTATAAATGCTTTTGTACTTATTTACAGTGACTTTGTGCTTGAATTGTAACTATGCAAATTGTCTTTTGTATATCCTGGTTTAAAAAAGGTAGATGTTTTCCCTGTTAACAGTTTGAAATGTGTTAATTAACTTGTCAGCACTTAAATGAGGGGTTAATATAAGTTAAGGACCAAGGTTCTTAAAGGACTTCTGCAGAATGAAAACTTGGTCATGTAAAACTGGATTCTTGCTCTTGCTGAAGTACCCATTGGCTCAACTGGATTATCTGAGGTATGGGGGATTAACTCAAAGCAAGGATGGAACAAATTAACTGGATTGATTTGATAACATTCCTTATTACGCGTTCTACTTTTCTTTCCTTCCTGAGCTAAATATGTCTATATTTCAACTACGTTAAAAATATTTTTGGTTAAAATTCTGCTTCTCCAAAGATAAAGATATATGCAATAATCACCATTACTTTAAAAAAAAAAGGCTATCTTGCTTTGACGTTTTGGGTGTGGGTGGTGAGGGGATCATGCCAAATATTAGGGATTTTTCTCATGGATTTGTTGTTTAAAACACTAATGTGTCCCAAATTGATTGTATTTCAGCATTCATAGCTACTTGTCTTTCTGTTCCACTTTGCACCATTTTTAAATCTTCACTTGATACTGGGGGGGGGGAGGGAATGTAAATTACACTGATAATTTTAAAAATGTGAAAAGCTGTTGTATTTCTCATAACATACACATGTATGGACAAACAGATAATTCTGAATAATTTCTGTTTAAGGAAATTTTTTTAAACAATGCAAAAATTGACTGCAGTTACGGTGTATAAAGGCCTATCATGGTAGTTTATTATATATATTACTTGTAAATAACAACTTATTTTTGTCTGTTACTTCAAAAATGTTCTGTGTTTTTTTGTTCATAAATACATTCAGTTAAATGCCTTGATTTGAGAGAAGATACTGATGTATCATAATAATACATAAATTGAATGAATGTTACATGAATTTCAGTACCTAAATCATCTTGGTTTTGACAAAATAAGATAAATACTCTTTATATTACATCAAGATAGATAAAAATTGAGAACCTAGGGGAAAAGAGTGTATTGAATCATAATTCTTTTGAAATAAATGTTGTGTCAACAGTGAAACGTTAGGTAATGGGAAACTAAAACAGGCTTCCTTGCTTATCTCAAGGAGTATCTCCTACAGCACAGTCTCTTGCATAGTGGTTAAGTGGTGCTGAGCAGTTGCTATGTGAGGTTTTGGAAGGAGTGATTGGATTAAAGAAGTAAAAATTGACATTGGCATGGAAGGACGGAAGGAACTGTAGCACTTGTGGGAGAGGAGTGGTGACTTGGCACTCATTTTCCATAGTTCTCTTCTGTAAGGATTGGAAGTAGCTATGTGCCTGTTCAGGACCACTAACAACTACATGAATAGTGTTCTTGGAGTTACAGCCATTTGGAAGCAACAAGCTTGGTGTTATTTGTTTTTGGTTTGGGTTTTTTTAACATATATTTTTAACATCAGTCTCTGGACTAGAAAGCAGAAATTGGTGATAGGAAAGGAAGTATCCATTCTCATATTGAATTTTTACTCTGTGTGCTCCTGAAATTATTGTGGCTACTGTAACTACCTTCCCTTTATGGCAAGGTACTGGCACCATTGTAGAGAAGTGGGAGGGAGAGGGGATACTTCAGAAATTGTTGCTGTGGCAGATAGCACTCTTTAATTTTCATCTTTTATTTCCAGGATGTCCATACCTAGCTGCCTGACTGGGAAAGGGGATTTGGTTTTTTCTTTTTTGGTCACAAATTTGGGGGTTCTTTCCTTTTTTTTTTTTTTTCCCCCTTTAAGAAAATAGTATGGCAGTGGTAGTTGAAGTTATTTCTGGGAGAGCAGCTTAATAATTGCTTATTAAGCTTTTCAATATTGCTTATAAAGCTTTTTCCTTCAGCAGATTTTAGCCTTTTTGGTGAAGTGCGAACATGTTAAACGCATTGCTTGAGATACTTAAGTTCTTTGAATCAGGTCTTCTAAAGGTTAACAGACTCTGTGTACAGTGTCAGGCAATAAAGCCTTACAGTATTTCTGCTCTTGTTCTACATCTCTGCAGCACATGAGGGTGGTTTTCAAAGTAAAACCACCTTAAAAGTGTTTGTAGCCCCTTCACCCAGGGCTGAGCTGAAAAGTGACATCTGAAGCACTTGGTAAAGCCTAGAGAGGAGACTGAACCTGCACAGGAAACCACCTTTGGTACTCCCTTCCTTTTTGGGCATATAAGTAGTAAAGGAAGGTAAAGTTTGCCTTTTTGTGAGTAATGCAGGTCTGTAGCAAAAAGGGACTGTTCCTCCTCTTCCAGAGAGAAGCCAAGCACCCCATGGAGGAGCAGGCCTTTCTGTGGTGGAGGTGCTGTGGAGGCCAAGGAATGGTGCTGCCAATTGTGCCCTCCAGTCTTTTGGCCTAGGACGGGGGAGCGAGAGAGACCAGAGGAAGATGGACTGATGAGAATGGACAGTGGTTGTAAAAGTGTGAACTGAAATACAACAGAAATAGAGTTCAGAAGTGCTCTCTCAGGAGGTAAGTTTAGGGGTGGCTGGCATGCTAAAAGCAAGCATACACGATATGTATTAATGGAAGAAAATGGCTTTATAAATACGCAGTCTTTTAGCATTTGGTACGCTCTCAGTTCATGACCCTTACTTATCCAATGCCCTGCCGGGCCCGTGGGTGGACACAGTAGCCATGTGGCCCCTGGGGCAGAGTCAGCCAGCCCCGATGGCGGCAGCGGGGCTCGGCCATCTGTGGGTGTCGGATGGGGCTGGGTTTGCCTTCCCCGAGGACTGGCAGTGTGCACAGGCGCTGCCCTTCGGGACGCGGCCCCGCGGCGCTGAGCCCTGCGAGCTGTGGTGCCCTTCCCGCCCGCGCCGCCGCTGGCTCGGGGCTCTTTCCCGCTGGATGAGGGGCTGAGGGAGCGGCGCCAGGAGCCCGGTCCGGTCCTGCGGCTGTGGAGCCCTGGCTGCCGCCTCGTACGCGGTCCCGTTCGCCTCCCCGCGGGCACAGCGGCGCCTCGCAGGGAACAGCGCCGGGGCCCGAGCCCCGCGGTGAGGAGGGCGGCCCCGGCCCCGCGGTGCCCATCGCCAGTGCCCATTGCTGCCGCTCCAGCAGCGCTTAGGAGGGGGCATAGGAAGGCCGGAGAATACTTTGGTGGAGGAGTCTGTGAGGTCTGTGAGGAAAGGGTGCTGATGGCAGGAGCCTGAAGCCAGATGGGAGATGATGGGTACCCATGCCAAGTCACAAATGGGGTTAGCTGGCTGTGGGGACGCTGGTGAACATGGTCACCCTGGTAGTGGGACTAGTCAGGCTTTATTTTTTGAAGCTTAGGTGATGATTGTTCAGTGCACAATGAGCTGGGCCATAGCTAGTTGTGTTTGGTGTTCTGTCTTTCTAGGCCAGGGAACACAGGGTCCACGAAAATACAGTGAACCTGTGTGTGTGTGTGTGTGTGTGTGTGTGTGTTTTTAATCCCTTCTTGCTGAAGTTTTGTGCAGGAGTAATCCTAAGGAAACCAGGAAAAAAAATAAAATCCGTATTATAAATTCTATTTCAATTTGTGCTTATAATTTGTTGCTTCAGGCACTGAACACATCCCATCCCACAGCATACAATGCTCAGGCCACAGGGTTTACACTGCTGCCACACTGACATTGTGCTGGAAACCAGTTACTCCTCTAACAGATGCTGATCTGTTTGTCCTCCTGAAGCCACTTCTGTGAACTCCTACAGGGGATCTTCCATATGCTATGAGCTTTGATTCCTCATCAGCTCAGTAATCCTGTGTCCTGTCCTTTACCAGGTAGCTAAACCTTACTGTTGAAGATTTGAATGGCGTTTCATATTGGTCATCTAGAGAGGACAAAGGGAAGAAGAAAATCTGTAAGACAGTAAAACAGATGCATATATACAAAATGCCATATTTTGGCCTTAGTAATTCTTCTGAATTTTGCAAAACAGTGCTTCATGGTATGGGACTCTACACTTAAAAAAAAAAAAAAAAGTAGATACGTGGGTAATACACAATTAAAACAGCACTGAAGATGATGGGCAGCCTCCAAAACAATTTTGTGGTTGTAAAAGTTTTGTCTATGGGAATCAAAATTGATTTTCTGTGTACATGGATGGAAATAAGTGCTTGTGAGATCAGCATCTTAAGTGGGTGCTACAGGAGGTAACAGCAGAGTAGGAGAGATTTTAAAGAGAAAAGATGTTTCCCAGTTTCACACTTTTAACAGCTATGACAGACTTATCAAATAAGGGAGATAAAATTTTAAGTCTTACTTTTGATAGGCTTATTATACCTATAAAATAAACAGGGAAGGTTAAATTAAATGCAAGCTTTAATTTCATGGTTTAGGGAATTAGGAGAGTGAAAAATTCGTTGAGGGGGGAAAACAAAAAAGCAAACAAAAAAAAATTAGACTGTTCTTCAGAAATTCACTCTAGGAATGGAGTATGCTCCAGCCATAAAATCCTTAAAGAATTACATAGTTTTAAAAAGAAGACTATTTTGTGTGGATTTGCTAATACATACCAATAGTAGTAGTAGTAGAAGTTCTAACACTTTTTTCACAGTTTATACCCACAGTTTGAGAAAGAGTGCAAAGATCTTGGAAGATGGATCCTGAAATACAAAAAATGAGGGAAGTTGCCCTTGTTTACCTTGACAGAAGTGGTGGTCTTCAGAAATTTGTGCAGGATTGCAAAAGATATAATGGTATTACTCACTTAATACAGTATGTTAAATTGATACATAATATTACACAAGTCTCTGTTATTTTAAGGTGCTTTTTGCTCCTGCAGAATCAAAACAAAGTTATGCTGTTTATCGTTTCATAATTTCAATAAATCCTTCTGACATTGCTGAATTGGATGCAATTCTTGGAAACTATATTCTTCATAATCCCCTACAAGCTGCACAGATTTTTCAGTCAGTAAGTGTATATTTATAGATGAGTAGACAAAAGTATGGCTTCTACATTTTAACAAGACTTCCTTTCTAAAATGAAATTATTTTTCTGTCATAGGTATGCTTCATAGCTATTAAGACATTATCATTAATTGAACAATTGCAGACAGAGGCCCAGGTGAGTCTGCATTCTCCATTTAGATCTTACATCTTCTAAGTATAGTGAAGTATTAACAAATATTTTTATATTTCATTTTCCTTTGGCTGTAGTATTATTTCTAACTAAAAACAGCTGGAAGTTCCACCCAGCCATATTGCAAGAATTTTGAGCTAATGAATATGAAACCTAATTACTCTCCACATGTTTCTGAAAATGTTTTTAATATTTAGATATCATGTTGTGTGTTTTTCTGTGGCAAGTAAAGTAGTTTTAAATAAAAATTATCTTTTTTTTGTATTAATGCAATTGTGTCTCTTGCTAGATCAGTATATTGCTGAAACCAACACATTTGCCACCTTTACCAAGTTATGTTCTGAGTCTTTCTGCATATCCCTTTAATTACACATCTCAAAGATTTTACATGTCTGAAGGGATAGTGATTGCAATGGGAACTGTAACAAAATACACACAAGGAGCAAGATTTCTTTGTACTGAGGAAACCTGTCCGTTCTCTGAAGGTAGTAAAAAAATAAATAAAAATCAGTACTATTTCAAAAGCTTTTTAATAAATTTGGTAACAAGAGATTAAAAGCCTAACATAAAAAAGGTATTTTGCTATATAGTTTTATTATGCGTACATTTTTGTAATAAGCACAGTAGGGTTTTTATTAATTGAAAGCAGTGGACCTTGCTCAGCATTATTAAATGTTTTTGGAGCACAGCTATGCCAGCAATCCCTTTTCCTAATGCAGAAGATAGGTTATATGGGAAAAGATATGTTGCCAAAATATTTCAGAGTAAAAGAGCTAAACTAGTGAAATACCTTTTCCCTTGGAAACTGTGTTTCTGATTACATAAAAATACCACAGAACAACATGCTTAAGTGGCTGGCAAAGGCTTCAAGCACAGAACAAGTTTGCTTTAACGAGTAGCTGACTTCTGTGGAACTACTTCTTGGAGTAATATTGATGAACTGCTTGTACCATTGTGGGGTGAGGCCTTATGTATTTTTAAGGCTGTTTCGTTCGGTTCCTCCTGTAACACAGGCCATACAGTTATAAAAGAGATGATAAATCCCAAAGTTTGGAGGCTGCAGAATAAATCATACAGATATCTTTACGAGGGCACGTACCTCCATATCCCATGCCATTCCCACGAGAGGCAGTAGCCGCAGTGGCTCGCTCCTCAGGAAGCCTGGCCAACCCGTTCCGCTTGGGAATGTGCAGCAGGAAATTCTGCCATCTCGTGGTTAAGCCACAACAAATTATATGCATCATTTCAGTGGAGGCTCATCTGAAGAAACACATGATAAATTTGCAATTTCACTGTCCAGTATTTTAATCGCTTCTGTTCTTATCAGAAATTTAAAATTAAAGCTCTGCCTTCTAAATGTTTGGTAAATTATTACTTTTTTTTTAGGGTTTAGGTACATCAGAGTGCATTGTCCTGGAGCTACAGAGTCTGCCACAGTTAGGACTGATTTTGTGTGTAGCTTGTGTTCCTCACCGCTGCAGGAAGACATGAAATTTAGAGTACTTGGTGGTAGGATTTACATAATCTTATTTTCCGATCTGGTACTTTCCTATTTCTGTTACACAATAAGTAAACAAAATAGTTAAGTGGAAAAAGCCCCAGAATAAACCAGTCATTTAAAAAAAAAATGCTTTCAAGAGAAGTAACTTTTTTCTCTGCTTTTGTTTTGAAAGATAAGCAAATAGTTGAAATGATTGATGCTAAAGTTCTGAATGCTTTGAAAGGATACTCCAATGATAAATCATATTTTAGGATTCAGGCATTTACAGTTTTCTTGAGAGGTAAGCTGAATTTGAGTTTTGTCAAAAATGTTTTAGAATCAAACTGTAATAATCCCTTGCATTTTACTTGTTGTTCCATTTCTCTGGATAGAATGGTGGAAGTAATAATTTTGCATTGCAGTTCTTTATGTATTCTCCCCCCAAATTTTATTAAAATTCAGTAGGTGACAAAACAGTACGCCCAGGTGATTGCAGAGTGCACAAAGCAAAACTCTCATGTTCAGTTTTGTACCTCCATTTAAAAAGAAAATCTCCCGGCCAGCTCAGCAGTGTTGCATTCTGTCACTTGTTTGTTCCTCCTTTCTACTTCCTTTGGTCATGCTGTTCTGTACTAACTTCATGCATATTTAACATCCTTCTGGCTTCTACTATCACCTACCTACTAGTAAGAAACAATCTATGGGTAAGATACTGTGAGCTGCATGCATTAAATTTCCAGTGGTTTCAGTGATCAGTTAGGCTAGACAGTGTCTCACAGGCTGAGATTTTGGTTCTCATTTCCAAAAAAACATTGGATTTTTTTTTTTTTTTTTAAGATGCACAGAAATACTAAGGTTCACAAAGCTATTTGTGTGTCTTTTTGGAATCTGTGTAATCTGTATCTCCTCTTTATTGTGTCGGGGTTTTTTCTGTGATGTTTTATGGAACAGTAACTGAAAATGGTGTTGCCAGAAATTTACAAGTAGAAACACATACTTGCAAACAACTGTCCCATTCCTTTTCGATGTAGAACTAAAGGCATCGTCCATTTTCTTTATCAGGAAACTGTTTTTCCTCACCCAGTGTGCCTTTCTTACCTTTTGCACTAATTAATTAGAATCATACATTTCATTTTATTCTAGTCTGTTATGGTCAATCTGGCATCCAGCCGTTGATGTCTGCTGATGTTAAATCATAAAATCATTCAGACTGTGAAGAATTTTCTGACTGTGTCTTTAAAATTATTTTTATGCCCTAACACATCTGCAGGCCCGCCTCCCCCCCCTCCTTTTTTCATTTATTTCTAGATGAACTGGCCAATAAAATGACAATAGGAAACCACTACAGGATTATAGGAATCCCAGCTTGTGTACAAAATGGCTTACAAGCTACTGCATGTATAGAAGCAAATAGTGTACAGCTCTGTAAACCAAATGGTAAGAAAGTTCCATTAAAAACTAACTGAAAAAAGTTGCAAAACCTTCTAGAACAAAATCTTGAGAACTGGTACAGTTTTCTATTCCCTAGAGGTCCAGATTACAAAACCACTCAGGGACTTTCCTCTTGCAGCCTGAAATGTGTACTTGCTGTTATTTGATAATATCTGCTTTTGCCCGCTTTCCATGCCTTGGGAAACTACCTAATTATTCACTGCAGTTCTTCAACTTCTCTTTCCAACTTCTCCTATCCATTGGAAGGTACTTTGAAATCCTATTAAATGAACCTGATATTTGAGTTTGATGGAATATGAAGGGAATAACAATGTCAGCAGATCATGTCTGCAACCTTTTTACTTTTTACCCTTACTACCTTTTAGTAGTACAATTGTCAGATGTTTACATTCTGAATTTGTGATCAATAGAGAAACTTATTAGTTAACTAGAATTTATAGTGATTTGTTCTGATATATCTGCATAGGTTTCTCTTAAGTGTTTGTTAACCTCTACTTTGTTTCCATTAGGTCCTTCTTTTCTCAGTGACAATTTTAAGTATCTGCTCTCACTGACTTCAAGTTCATCCTGGAGGTTTACTGCTGTCCTGGCCAACATCTTTGCTTCTCAAGTTGTTCCACCAGGCACTTATAATACTCTTAAACTTGCAATATTGTTGAGTCTAGTGCAGACTTGTGAAAAAGAAAATGCAGATTATCTGGATCTCTTGATTGTGACAAGTGACACACTAGTAATTGATAGGTAAAGAGATTCCTTATTTTTCACATAAATTAGAATTTAAAATTAGTATTTTTAAAGACTATAGGATCGGTCTTACATGAAAAGCTAGAGACTATATATAAAAAGAAAAGCAAGGCCTCAACTTAGTAAAAATAACATTTTTTTTCCCTGAGACATTTTTATTTCTTTCAAGTGATAAATCTAGATCAGAACTTAACTACTAATAAACCCTCTTACCACTCTCATAATGATAGCAATAAGAATTTAGCACTAGCACTGTTCAGCAGAGCTCAAACAAAACATTCTTCTAAAATCAAAACTGAAGACTGTCCCAGGAGCTGGTAATGATAAAAACAAAGGGCTAAACTTTTCAAATCTTGTGTCACTTGAAGCCTTTTGACCACTGGTTCCCAGCCATCAGCATTTTCAGTTAATAAGCAGGGTGTAAATCGTTACTTACATTTGTATCTCTCTTCTTCATAATAACTGTACTGAAACGGTATCAGAAGTCATGCACATCTTTACATGTTGACCATAAATCAGTTATTGTTGCCTTTAACTAAACATTTTTCTATATTTTCCCATTTTATGTATTTACCTCTTAGTACAACTATAAACTGTTAACACAATTTAATGTACACTGCAGAAAATTACAGTATGTTCAGCTTTAAAATTACATTACCTTAAAACTGCTATCTCCTTCCCAAGATCAAAATAGGGCTTTTATTTTTGAAAAGGATCTTTGAAAGTGACATGAATTTTATTTTCATTTGGAACTTCTTTTAAAAATTCACTAATATTTTATGTCATGGGAAAAAAATACTTAGATCATTTCAAAATTTAGCTGTAGAAATAAGTTCAGATTTAAAAAATGTGAGCTGCAAGATTTTTTTTTCCTCCAGGTTTAGAGTAAGATTTCATACGAGAACCAGGAGCTCAGAGTGTTTTAAGAATCAAAACATCTGGTTAATATTAAAACAGCTGCACACTGCAAATCTTGATCAGTATTGTAATCTGTATTGTCTTGCATGTGCACAGTATTTTACTGTCAGCAGCCTGTCAAAGTAGGCATTTCCTACATCATATTTCTATTGGTGTGATACCCTATTCACTAATACGTACCAATTTTACTCCATCGTTTTCTCCCAGGTATTAACAGTAGGATAAACCATGCTCTAACATCTTAAAATCATTAGAAACCTCTGATTGCGGAACCAGACAATTTGCAAACATCTCTGTGCCAAGAAACATAGTACAGGGGATGAAAAAGACATTCTATACCTTCTTTCTCCAAAAGAATTGGGGAGGTGAGGGTGTAAGCCAAGAAGGCAGAGCTTAGAAGTTCCAGCCTTTTCATTTTTCCCAGATGGCCAGGATTACTAATCTTCTAACCTTTTAAATCACTGGAAAAGTTTCTCTAAAAGGGAAAGAGGAGTTCACAATATGGGGTTATTATGAGACTTCTTTGATTTCCTAGAAAGCACTTATATTTCAAACCAGGGTTTGCCTCACATTTAATCCGTAAGAAATACCACCCTGTTGGCAGCTGTTGGAGAGAAGGCTTGGAGCACTACCTTTGCATTCAAAGTTAAACATTTAGTTTTGACACTGGTTTCATGTTAAGGGGTTTTTTTCCTGTTGTTGTTTCTAAGTGAGCCTTAATACTTCATATATTTATATATATTTATATATATTTATATATATTTATATATAATAAGTATGGTATTTTTAAAAGTGAACAATAATTTAACAACTTATAACTGACAGAATTATCTAATCCTCCAGGCTTCTGAATTACAGCTTATGCCTTCTGCCTCGTGGCATACGACACCCACCTTCCAGTGAAATTTTTCCTTCTGTGTCCAAAGATAAACATGGAACTGGAAGTGCCAGCATTCAAGCCTGCAGCGCTGTGCTGGCCAAGGGTGGCGTCTGTTACATAGGAGACTTATCTTCATATAAAAAGGATAAACTTGAACTTCTACAGTCTGGTAATCTCCCACCTCCAAACAGATGAGGGGAGAGAACAAAACAAACACACGAATTCACAGCTGGGTTTGATCCCCAGCTTACAGCCCTCAAATGCTTCAAAAATCTGTAAGCTGTTTTTAATGAGTCTGTGTAAGAAATAAGGACAAAAAAAGCCAAAGTCCTGTAAACTTGTATTTGCTGCACTACCGAGATCCATTAGTCATGGCAACTCAGTGAAACGAGGGCAACGAAGATGGTAAAGGGCCCTGAGGGGAAGCCGTGGGAGGAGCGGCTGAGATGACTGGTCTGTTCAGTCTGGAGGAGACTGAGGGGAGTCCTTGTGGCAGTCTACAACTTCCTTGTGAGGGGAAAAGGGGAGCAGCCACTGATCTCTTCTCTGTGGTGATGGACCCAAGGGAATGGCCCGAGTTGTGTCAGGGGAGGTTTAGTTTGGATATTAGAAAAAAGCTTTTCTCCCAAAGGGTGGTTGGGCACTAGAACAGACTCCCCAGGGAAGTGGTCACAGCACCAAGCCTGACAGAGTTCACAAAGCATTTGGATGCTATCCTCAGGCATGTGGTGTGACTCTTGAGGATGGTCCTGGGCAGGGCCGTGAGTTGGACTGGACGATCCCTGTCGGTCTGTTCCAAGTCTTGGTCCGTTCCAACTCAGCAAATTCTGTGAAATCATAAATCGTGAATGGTTTCAGATGTGTGTGGTACTACAATTTATGGTCAAGCTTAATCAATCATGTAACTGATGAGTTTTGTCTTATCCTAGTGTTAGAGAGCAGAACAACAACAGTATTTATTCCTGGGAAGAAGTACGGAGAAGAAGCTGACCAACAAGTTACTATTTCACTTCAGACCAATTTTTGGTCTTTTGTGGATGTGGATTCTTCCTCAAAGAAACATATACAAAAGGAGAACTTTTTAATTGGACAAATGGTAAAGCACATGCCTTGTTATGACAGAAATTGTATTATAGCTGTTGTGTTTATCATTATTTCAACTGATAAAATAATGAAAAAATTAAACTTGTTAATATTTCCCAAAAAATCACAACTTAAGTGACTTTAAATCAAGTACCTTCTAAAATGAGGTAGCTTTCCCAATAGTAGGAATCAGCGTAACAAAATATTACTAAGTGTTATAAGTAATCCATTGGATAAGCTTGCAGTATAATGGATATTGAATATTTTAGATAGAAAACACTGTGATGTTTCTACAAGTCAAAAGCCCAAAATAAAGTAATCGTTTTCATTCTCTGGGTCTTTTCTTTAGGACGTGAGTTTGATTCCAGCTAACCTTGTAGATGTTTTTGGGCTCTTGATATACAATGAGTTTCCTTCCTGTCGACTATCTTCTCCTCTTATACACCATATCTTGGAAAAAGCCATTAATCCTGAGGCCATGCTGTACAATGTCTCACAGCAGTTCAGAACACAGGATTACGAGGAGGTAACAGATTGTACACAATAATTTGACATGCATTACATCTGGGAATATCAAATTGGTTTTGGCATCAGAGGGTTCTCTCTGCACACTCTGATTACTTATTTTTGATACTCACTTTCTGTCCTTTCCTCCTCCCCTACTCCCACTAGCACTAATAGGATCATCAATTGAAGCAACTCCAGTGCTTTAAAAGGGTCAGTGTAATAAATTCAGTTTGATCATATTTCTGGAAAGGGTACTAGGTTAACATTTATATAAGGACAGATCTATGCCTACTTTTCACCAGAAAAAATTATAATCAGTAATATTCCATTCTAAATAAACTGTCGGTATCTCTAGTATAATCAAGACATGATTCCTTCAAAGTGTTCAAGGCCAGGATTTTCAGCAGTCAAATGGTGACAACTGTCTCTATTGTCTACCAATAGTTTTTATAATACTGTCCAGCCTATATTACTATGCCACTGGTATATTAAAAGGTGTGAAAAAATATCAATTTTTATATATATATAGTTAAATATTTTCACTGTATACCCTCTTCTAGTTTATTTTGTTTGCTAAGAATCTTCATGTTGAACTGAGTTCAGAAGCAGAGAACCTCATTCAGGGCTACTATCTTGCAAGTCGCAGGGTGAGAAGAGATTCCATTCATGGATCAACATTATCAGCATCTGCACTAAAACTTCTGTGAGTCCTACTTTTCACAGTAAGGGAAATACTCCTGTGTTTCAAAGAGAAATTGCACTAATCTGGTCAAGGCTTGTTTAATAAAAATCTAGATAAGACTGTTATGTTTTGAAAAGTTCAAGCATAAAAAAATTTTATTTATCGTTAATGAATGCCATTTCTCTTATATAGTGATGCTGCTGAAAGAAACCCAAGTTCAAAGAACTTTTCCAGGCAAAAAATAAACCAGGGATTTACAAAATAAGTATCATTATTAAAGCTATCTAGCAAACCAAAACTGGGATTTAAATATCCACAGCTTTATTATGGGAGCAAAACAAGTATAAACAGTAGATAATATGCCAACTTCTACTGCTTTCATAGCATAATATGTATTTTGTCAGTGGTAAGTGTAACTGCACAGCTAAAGTATGAAAATACTTCAGTGTTAACTTTTGATTTACAAAGTGCTTGAAACAGGGCAATACACATTGCGTTCAGTTCTGCATTATTTTTTATTTCTGACATGCTTATATTGATCTCTTAGGATTTCACTGTCTAAGGCTCATACCAAGCTAAGTTTAAGACAGACGGTACTTGAGGAAGATGCTTTGATTGCCATCTTATTACTTGAGTCATCTCTTACCCTTAAACACGGTAAATAATGCAACTCAGTCTTTAGGCTGTTCACATTTGTTCGTTTGAAAAAAGTTTGTATCGACTGCAGTAATAGGTCATTTCAAATCAAAACCCAGAGATTCCACTGCTGAAGAACTGGTATTGGAAAAGTCTGTCAGATGGTTTCCCTGCTGAGCCTCAGTGCTCCACACAATTAGGCCACAGGGCAGCACCAAGTCTGTCCATGCTGGCTTCTTTGAGGCATTGCTCCTCTAACACTGGTCAAGGTTAAACTAAGGACAGATTTCCCTCCTTGGGAAAGATGGAAACAAGAGTTGGGATTTTTATTTTGTTTATCAAGCATCACAGTCACATTTGCTCACAGAGAAATATAGAAACAAGGTAAGAATTATGAGCTAACACTTAAAAATGGTAGCAGAGAAGACTGTAACCTGTGTCACAGCTTTTTCCTCTCAAAGTACTGGCAAACATTTATCAAGTCTTTCAGCCTAAGTCTTGATCTCTTCTTTACTTAGGCACATCTGCATTATGTGTGGCACCAAATTCTGTATTTCCATTTGACCTCAGTGATGAAAATTCCCTGCAAGAGAGAGATATTTACCTCATGCAGTGTCACCATCAACTCCTGAAGTTTATTGCTGCATATGGTCCAGGAATTCACATCACCACTAATGAAGAGTAAAAACTCCTCTCTGTGGAGTAAAGCCTGAAGCTTTGGCTTTTTGAGAGACTATTTTATTGAGTTAGATATACAAAAACACTAAAATCTTATCAGTTGTCTAAGACAGTTCTGTGCTGTTTTATAAGGAATAAAGCATATCTGACAGGATTTGAATTCCTAGTTTTTTGACAGTGTTCTTTGAAGGCAAGGAGGGATGTCTTCAGCCTGGGAGGCCATGTCTCCAGAATACAGCCACAGTCAGAACCTCTCTTCCTGGTTACAAATGTTCATTCACTGTTAAATGAGGACTAAGCAGGGTTTTTAGTAGGACAACTAAAATTTAACCCCCAGCTTCAGAATCTAATGTTGCCTTTCAACTACATGAATTCAACTGCAGTTTTTCTTGTTGCTTCTTTTTAACTTATCACCCAGAGGGTTAAGTAGTTTTAAGTACATTAAAACTTTTCCTAGTTTAAGCCAACTTTAATTATTCATGATGTATAAATAAATTTTGAAATGTATTAAAGTATTACCGTCCTGCTTCATGTTTTGTGTCTTTTTTTACATTCCAGCAACACAGTATTAGACAGGTGTGCCGGTGTGCTCCTGCAACCAAAAAAAGCAAACACCCCCCACCAAAACCCAGTGTTTCCACATCATTTTTTGCGGACTGCTACAGGAAAGGTAATATTAGACAACCTGGTGGGCAGGTAGCTCAATGAGTTCACCCCTACTTCACTGCAAAAACAGGTGTGCAGAATGGTGTGGTAGAAGATGAGGTGTCTGAGGTACAGTATGCTTCCCCAACTATGGACTTTCCTGTATTTCATCATCCTAGTAAGGATACAGCAGTAGACATAATCTTCAGCAAGTTTTACATCCAAGAGATATATATTAAATAAAAAAGCAGCAGTAAAATTGTACAGACCTCCTGTCAATCTGGACAAGCTGAATATTTAAGGCTTGTGTGAATCCTACACAGGATGTCATCTTGCGGTATCACAGTGCTACTGCTCCCGTACCCTCAACAAAAAATGGAGTCACTGAAAACAGAAATCCAAGATTTTATTCATACCCACTACTAACATTGTAAACACCTTAGCCAAGATAACAAGTTTTCCTACATGTTTTAACCCTTGCTATATTCATTTTTAATCCATTTATATGACACATTGAAATATTCATACCAAGTTCTAAGGCCAGTTCCCTTTCCAGAGTGACACTCTCACCTGAACTTCATTCCAGCATTATTCAGCCATATTCAGTGAACAGCTATTTCCCTGCAATATTATTGTATCAAGCGGTATGTCTGAGAAGCAGGAAGGGCCATGAAACCATTTCCAAGGGCATTAGAACTCCACATTCCAGGCTGCTGTTTTCAAGCTAGGAGTAATAATAATTTAAAAAACAGTTAGTTTTCTGTACCCTTAATCCATCTTACACAAAGTTATTACCTTCACTGGCATTTCAGATTCAAAGATACACATCAAAAACCCTTCAGATGGGTAAACGGCAAAGGTTCTCATCATTATGCCAGCAAAATAATAGACTGAAATAGAATTCCTTTTTAAATCACGAGTTTTGAGAAGCCATATTAAGGAATGCGTATTCTTCATAAAAAAACATCCTGCAAAAAGAGCAAATATTTTATCCTTACCTCTCCTCAGTCTCTCCCATGACCTCTTAAGCAAAAATGGGAAGACTAGCGGTGGACTCTACTGTTGGCTCTGAGTGCACACACAAGGCTGGAAGACAGTGGAGATGGTCATCTGATGTCACCTTTAGAAGAATACATAACATCAGAAATGATGGGAACAAATCAAACTGTAAAAATCCTACAATTAGCTGGCACATCAGATACAGCACTGCTCATCACAACATTCAGTTGGGTAAACGGCAAAGGGTCATCATCATCGTGCCAGCAAGGTCCTGCCTGTGGGGAGACTGGTGCTGCTTTTTCCAGGGATCAAATACAAGGGAATTTTGGTTATATTTGTCTCAAGGGCTGTGCTTCCATAAACTGAAGCAGAACCTTTGTTTTAACTGCTAAGCACAGAACAAATTCAGGATAGCCAGGAGCAAGAGAAAAAAAGCTCTCTTTGGGCACAAAAATCCAGGTCCCTCCCTCTTGTTACATTCAAGCCCCAGATGCCAAGTATATTTCTAGAGGTAAAGTTCACTACCGTAGTCGCTTTTCCCTTTGAAATATATTCCAAGTCTGACATGGGTAAGTGCCAGGGATGGTGATCTGAACACATTGCTCTTCACTTCAGTCTCTCACTTCCAACTGGCATCTGTTAATTCCTCAAATCAGAACTCATGTTTCTCTCCCCAATTAAAACAAGTTTCTCTGATATTATTATAAAACTCTCCTTTCTGATTCCTTCAGGATTATTGGATTGCACCTGCTTTGTTCTGGGGAGCAGGTCTTAAGAGATTTTATAGCAGTCATAATACCTTTCAACCTCAACCGTACTACATGCAATCATATGTAGTTCTGTTCCATCTGTAACAGAATTTGCAAGCCATTAAACAGCTTCAGAACTCCAGATCTAGAAGCTTCTCTCCACATCTTAAAGTACAGTAAGAAATATTTACTTCTGTAGCTCCAGAATTCACGTGACATCTTTCTGTTTGCAAGGCAACAGCGTGGCAGAGTCCAGACTGAAGATTCCCGAAGCCAGTAACAAACTCATCTCGAACTTCACTTGCTGCCTAAAACAATGAAAAGCAGCAGATGTTTGATTCAGAGAACTCCACTGCTGAGCCAGCAGCAGAAAGCATTAACACTTCCTTGGGGACAGTAAGCCAGACAAAGAAATACCAACCTCATGCTCCCTTTATAATTACCTGGGGAGAAAACCACAGAGAGCATCAGATGAGATCAGGGTGAAGCAGAGGCATGACCATTTTCCTAAAGCAAGCTGCAACATGAGGAATGACTGATTGCAGGACAAGTACACTGCTCCTAATGAAGAGCCATGGCTGGGGAGAAGAGCACCTTTAGCAGGTTACAGCCTTTAACCCCAGTTCACGTGACACGCTCTGGGGAAATCACTGATGTTTAACCACCAGTTGAGCTGAGGTCAGTGCTCGCACTGCAGTCCTGGCAGGAGAGCATCACCCCAGAGGCTGCCGAGACCCCCGAGGTCCTGTCCCTGCCAGAACCCACCCTTCTGGATCTGTGCCTACAACCCAAAAAGGGCACGGTCAGGGTCACCATACCACACTTGCCAAATTCCCTAAAGGAAAAAGAAGGTAATTTATCTTTAGAATTAGGACATGCATTTGCTGATGAAAACGATCTGTCAGCAAAACCAAGTGTCTTCAGATGTCAAATCTGTCATTCCTTTTAAGACTTGATGAGCCAAGAGGTAGCTCGAAGTAACCACCACCGCTTTGCCAGGGGAGTGGCACGCACTAATTAGGTGCATCTCACTCTCCCATGCCTGACACACTCCTGTGTGGCTGGAGTGTCAGCATGAGCTGAGCCACCTCAGCACCCAGGCACGGACATGCTCACAACAGCATGACAGTCACTCCTCTTTTAAGTGATGGCTTTGTTTAAAAAAGCACCAGCAAACCATCCCTGCAATTCTTGAGATTACAGCCATTGCTCTGGCCTGCCAGGACGCGATTTCTCACATTTAACACCTGGGTGCATTTCTATTTCCTTTGAAAGACCGCAATGTCTAATTCCTCTAAAAAGACCAAGGATCGCTCAGCTTTCCAGACGAGCATGTGCCTGGCCTGCCAAGCCGAGGAACTGCTCCAGGGAGCACGGCAGAGCTCGGGTGGCTCTCACACAAATGTGCAGCCAAACAGCACCGTGCGGCTGCCGGGGGGCCGGCACGGGATCACGGAATCACAGGATGTTAAGGGATAGGGATAGACCTTTAAAATCCGCTAGTCCCAACCCCCCTGCCATGGACAGGGACACCTCCCACAGGCAGGACACCTCCCACTAGATCAGTTTCACAAGGTCTTATCCAACCCGGCTTTGAACACTGGGAGGGTTGGGGCATCCACAAACACCCTGTTCCAATGCCTCACCACCCCACAGTAAAGAATTTCTCTCCCGTATCGAACCTAAATTTCCCCTCTTTCAACCTGTACCCAACTTTACCCTCTTTCACTCCGTATTCAGCAGACTCTGCGGCCCAGGCTGCCGCTCCCACGCCGGAGGCCGAGGCACGGAGGGGCAGCTCCGAAGCCGCGGAGCTGCCGCCCACGGGCAGCCCCCGCCGCCGGGCGCTCTTCGCCATCACGGGATCCCCGGGAAAGGCGGCTCCCGGCGGGCACGGCCACCGCAAACGCGGGATGGCTCCCGCCGCATCCATCCACCCGCGCCGAGAGCCGGGCGGGCAGACGCGGTCGCTCCGGTGCCGCTGGGCCCCACTCCTCTCCCCCGGGATCCGCAGGCCGCGTGGAAGGGGCGATTCCCGCGGCGGGATCCCCCTAAATCCTCCGCGCGCCGGGGGCGGGGCGGGGCGGGGCGGGCGCGAGGCGCTTTCCGGCTGCGCGCGCACAGGGAAAAGGGGGAGAGCTGGGAGTGGGAGGCGATGCGTGTGGAGCGGGAGCGACGCGGGACCGCGGAGCACCGTGCTGGAGTGACGGCCGCGAGCACCAGGAAAAACAGGTCCCTGCGCAGCCGGCTCTGCACGGGCAGCGTGGTCCCGTGTGGCCGTGGGAAGTTCTCCTTCCCCATCCCTCGGAGGGAACGGCTGTGCTGGCAGTGACCGAGATCTTTGAGCTTACTCCATGAGAAATGCCACCTCTTGATAGCAATGTGTAAACGTTGTACAGTTTTTGTTCCTAAGGCCAGGCATATTTTCAGTGCTAAATGCCAAACTCTCGTATTTCAGCATACGAGGATGTGAACTGTTCTAGGAAGTCTAATATTTTTATTAGAACCAAACACGTTTTAAACGAACAGGCTCAGAGGCTCTGGTGTGATCATGGTGTGTAAATTGCTGGTAGAAAAGAGCTCTCTCACTGGTCGAAGGGAGTAGGTTGCCTCACCTGGTGTCTTGGTTCTAGAAGGAAAGGCATAAAAATTCTGATCTGGAATAATCTGTCTCAGTGAAAAAGAAAATCCCAAATCATAAGTATGGGGAGTTCTTCCTCACTGAAAAACCACTGTTGTAATTCTGCATATTCTTGCTGGCTTTTATTAAGTCTGTAGAACGCTGGTAAAGTCGTATGAATGTGGCCACAACTTCTGCAAATGTGGGTACAATGTAGCTACAGTGTTTGCTGCTCCGCCCCTCTGACTGTCTTCTGAGCATTGTAAATACTCCACTGTGAATACTGCAGGAGTGGTGGAGAGCTCCAGATTTTACCATATGTTTTGAGTGAAAGTTGTTCTGGCTAGAATTTTTGTTTTCATTTTCTTTCCTAGGTGTCATTTTAAAATTGAAACTGAAGTCTTCAGGAAGAAGACAGCATCTATAAATTCAGAATATTATCATGTACAATCAGAAACTGATACAGATCTGGCAACTCGGTGATAAGGGTCAGAGTAAAGATCTATT